ACCCCAGAATTTTCGACAGGCCACAAGACTGCGATAAGATAGGCTACGGATGATGCTCATTGGAAAAAAAGGTTTATCGCAGCCAAAAACTCTATCCAATTGTTTGTACTTATTCAAAGTTGAAGGGCGCCTGGACACTAAGTAAGGTAGAATTCGTCTTGACCTTGCTTACAATTTCATTGAGAGGATTTATCACTATTCTTAATTTAGAGTTGAAACCCATCCTTTTGGTACGTAGATTATTACTCTGATTGTGATGATCAGCTATGACAAACACGTACACCCTGGTCTTCAAATTCTTGTTTGACCATAACAGATAGCACAAGTGCGCGAGGTTTGCCCGCCACAGGTTCCGTAGTTCTAACCAGAAAATCTCCATTTGATCTCAGCATTTGCTGGAAAATGCAAATCAAATTGGGCAAAGTTAGAAAAGCTATACTACCTTGATATCTTCACGAGGAAGCAAACCGTGGTACCACAATTCACCAGCGAGTTGCTTGTCTACAACAGCCATCTCCAACGACCTAGTCTCTAATGTAGTGAACTATGAATAAACCTTACTTTTTGCTGCATTCAGAATCAAGTAATTATTAAATCAAAGAAACAGATAATTTTCAGAGAGCCATTTTGAGTATGGTAGCTATTCAACAACAATATCTGTTGCCTTGAAAGAGCATTTCGAGTTACATGTTTCTGTAATGTGTCCTCTCCAAGTGCAGCTTAGATGGGTCGCGAGTATGAGTCGAGATGACATGAAGTTGGCTGTGGCATGAACTCGCAATTGGAGTGCAATTGGAGGCAGTCGTGGGGCTGTCGATGTTCAAAAGGTTGCTGTAGCCATCGGCCTTCGTTGTTGTTTGGTACCGGACGGTCACAAACGGTAACAACTTATTGATCAATCCCGGTGCAATGTGCCACAATCTTTCGTATTTGAGCATTACTCACACAGTTTAAGCCCAGAAGTTTGACTGATATAGCTTTAAAGACGCAATTCTAACTGCTAACGGAAAAAAGCACAGGGAACATGGTTATTCTCTCGATTCCGGTGATTTCTTCCAGATGGGAATGTTAAAAATTAACCAGATTTATCTAGTGTTGTGTTTTAGCGATAAACGCCATTGGTGGACTAGCACGTTGGTAGTGGAGCTGAGGTTGCCAACGGCAAGAGGTTCTGCCGTTAACCAGAATTGGCGAATTATCAACATCACTGATAATCTTAGCAATTTTGTAAGTGGCTATTTAAAAACACTTTAAGAGAATGAGCAACGGATAATTTCATAACCTACCTCGTCCTGTTCGCGCGAAAAACAACATGAAATAAAAAAAGAATTCAATTCAAAAAATTCACCAAGAATTCGTTTTTCTCTCCAGCAAAGCAACACGGTTTGTATATGACTGAAGCCCAAGTGGTTTTTATATACAGCTGCTCTTTCCCCTTTGGAAACAAGGTCCTTCAATGATTGTATATTCCATCATTGAAGGACCTTGTTTCCAAAGGGGAAAGATATGAGCATGAGAGATGGCATGGAGAAACGAGTGTAGCTACGATCACACTTTTTCTTTGCTTGCTGGAAGCACCGTTGGCATCATATAAGGTTGTCGGGTTAGTTCGTGCCGTTCCTCCATACCCAATTTTCTATTGACAATACGTTAAATACTCACCAATTGCGAGAAGAAGTTGCCCTCTACAAGAAAGTGTACATGACCTATCCAGTGATTTTGGATTTGAATTAGGAGTGACTGAAATAGAAGTTGACAGGTCTGAAAAAGCTTAATCGAAGGCTTAATTTCTTCAAAACTCAAGTTCGAAAAGTTCTATAAGGCTACCTATGGGT